GGGGCTGAGCTAAGCTGAGTCAGAGCAACCACTGGAATGTGTATGATCTATGGCTAGGAACAGGCCCGGCTGGGGAGTTAAGGGGACACCCTAGCTGGGTGGAGGTTCTCGCCAAGGGGTGCGAGAGCTGAAATCACGGCTGTGTTCTGATCAGGATACAGTTGAAGTCTCCCCTGGCACAAGTGTGGACTGGGACTGGACACACTAGGCCGGGCCAGACCCCAACACCACCTGGTGTCCTGGTCAAGGCAGCAGCAAGGTCTCTGCCAATACTGAGCCATAGTGAGCTGTGGGTATGGATGAACCATGGCTGGGCTGAAACATCCAACAACAAGAACCAGTTTGGGTTCAAGGCCAGTCAGGAAAAGCCACTGTTCCTGCTAGGACAGGAAGTGAACTGAGTAGGGCTGGCAATGGAACCCCTGGAATGCACAAAATCTGACACTCAGAGGGGTTCTGACGCAGGAGCCTGGGCAACTCCTCTGGCAGGACACAGTCCCTACAGATAAGCGCAAGAAGCATGATGGGAAACAGCCCAGAATAGGCCATGGAAAGTTTCCCACTGGCATACATTTGGCATAGTTTGGAAGCAGACCAGGCCGAATCAGTTTGCGTCATCCACTGGCAAATCCAAGCACCAGAACAGAGTGTGGGTTGAGCCAGGTTTGGAAGAGACAAAAACCAGTGCACAATACGGAATGCCAAGGTGAGATTGCCTGTACTGGATGAGACCGAAGCACCCAACCAGCACGCGTGAGAACAAGGAAGGGAGGGGGCAGAGCCGGCAGGGGGAATAAGGGAGGGTCCCCTTGCTGGACAGCTACTCCCACTGGAGAGCATGCGCTGGACTGGGGGGAAGACCCGACTAAGCAGGGCTACAACACCTGTACACCTCACGTGGACTAGATCAGGGAAAAGCCAGGCTGGGATGATTATTCCTACTGGTGCAAGAATAAATTCGAGTGGGTGAGGGTTGTTTGGGCTTAGCCGCAGCATCAGCTGGCAGAGGCTGGCACTGGGGGCTAATTCTGTCATGTCAAACCACAGAACTTTCTGGAGAGTGCATAATCTGGGAGTGGGAGAGGCCTGGGAGGGAAATAGTGGGCTCCTCCCTCTTGGGTTACCACTCCCATGGGAGGGCATGAAAACTAGGATGGGGGCTGTGAGGGCTAGACAGAGAGGAACTCAACAACATCCATGAGGGGTTGATAATTGAGCTGGTTGGAAGGAACTAAGCTTCAATACCCATCAGCATGAATGAGAGCCAAACAGAATGTGGGACAGACTGGACTAGTCTGCTACACATACAGGGAAACCAGAGTACGGGGCGGGCCTGGTGGGGGTTATTGTGGGTTGCTTTGACTAGACTGCAGCTCCCACTGGTTTATGTGAGGGCCGAGTAGGTGCTGGGCAGAACCAAGCTGGACTGCAACACTCATTGGTTCCAGTGGAAGTCAGGAGTGAAAACAGAACCAACCCAGCAATTGCAACCACCAGCTGATCAGAGCAATGGACTGTGCTGGGCCCTCCCCAATCGAAATGCTGGACCCAGAACCCTAATCAAGAAAAGATGGAAGACAGAACAAGTCAATCAACCACCTCAGCTTTTGTTGGCAGCGAAATACTGGACAAATGGAGATTCTATGAGGGACTTTGTCAATCAGTGCATTCTTCAACGACCTCATCAATCAATGCTTGGAGTGGCGAGATTGGCAGCAATTCATAAATGGTGAACTATCAAAACCACGTGAGCAAGTATTTCAGAGCATTCCCCACATCCGGGACTTGAGGTGCGTGGGAAACTGGGTGGGGCTTCTCCCTCAATATCTCCCTTTACCTCAGAAACAAGAAGGAAACCTATGGAAATAATAGTCTTGCCCGCTTCCCTATAGCCTTTGAACCTTTTTACCCTAATTAACTATGTAAAGATTGTCAAAAATACAATTAAAAAATTAATAAAAATAAATATAGGACCCAGCATGATAGCCTAGTAGCTAAAGTTCATGCCTTGCATGCACTGGGATCACATATGGCACCGGTTAGTATCCTGGATGCTCACTTCCCTTCCAGTTCCCTTCCTGTGGAACGGTAAAGCAGTAGAGGGCATCCCAATGCCTTGGGACTCTGCACCTGCATAGGAAACCTGGAAAAAGCACCTGGCTGCTGGCTTCAGATCATTTCAACCCCAGCCATTGCAGCCCATTCTGGAGTGAACCAGTGGATGGAAGATCTTTCTCTCTTGTCTCTCCTGCGCTCTCTACATCTGAATTCCAAATCAGAATAAAAAAAATACATTATAAAAATTGTGCCATAACAATAGCAATATAAGCCAATTTGCACTCATCAAAATTGTACTCGTACTTACACATTACAGCTCACTCAGTGTGAGATGGTCTTAGGAATTTCTTCACCAAAATTATTAGAGTTTGGACATCGAAATTACTAGTTACAGGACAAGCACAATTTCATTTGTATCAGTGGCAAATCAAATTAACAAATCAAAATTACAATGTAAGTATGATAGTCAACTTAAATGTTCTCATGTGGGCATGACAATAGCCTACCTGACCATGACATGAGGCATGGCTTCCAGCCGTGTGCGTAGAACAAGACCTGTGACAAGACTGGAGGTTCTAAAGGGACAGACATGTCTACTACTCAATCAATGTCATTGTGGGGTGGGAAGGAAGACAGGGAATGCCCTTCTGCAGCCCCCTTTCCTAGTCTATATGACTTGTGCTTCCTTTACAATAAATGGATAGGTTCTATCAGACTGTCCCCAGTGGTGCTTGCAGCTGAAGAACACTGACACCTCAACCCCTTGGTGGTCTTTAGGCTGGTTGGCAGGAAAAAACCCATTAGATGCAAAAGCAATAAATACTGATTCCAAAATGAAGAGACAACTACACAGACAGTTCTACAAACAAAATAACCAAAAGACGAATTAGCATAAGAGGATTCCCAGCAGGACTTATTAGGTGAATGAATGGGTAATCACTTTATACCCATTTAATGTCCCTCATTCACAAAGAGAAAATGAAATTAGGCATTACTGATCTAAGTGTTTAATGATGAAACTAATATTAGAAACGGTACTCAAGGACTGCCTATGTTGTTAACCTTCTCACAGACTTTGGAACCAGTACAGGGTTATCAGCTGGAAGAAGCAGGGAGCATGTCAGTGTTTCATGGTCTGCCTCTGTTTCCTTTCAAAGCTGCCAGTATGTGTGGACTGAACTGCAGCATGCCGGACTGAGTTTCCCATATGGGTGCAGTTCATGTCCAGGGTGTTCCACTTCTAATCCAGTTTCCTGTTTTGCCCTGAGAAAGCAACAAAGGATGGCTCAAGTCCTTGGGAACCTGTACACATGTGGGAGACCCAAGAGTCTCCTGGCATTGGATTGGCTTAACTCTTGCCATTGCAGCCAAATAGGGAGTAAAGTTACAGTGGAAATATCTCTATATCTCTCTCCCTCTTCTCTGCAACTTTGCATTTCAAATCAAAACCAAAGATAATGCAACAGGGGTCAGCCCTGTGGTTTAACAAATAAAAGTCGGGCCCGGCGCGGTGGCGCAAGTGGTTAAAGGTCCTCGCCTTGCACATCTGGGATCCCATATGGGCGCCTGTTCTAATCCCGGCAGCCCCGCTTCCCATCCAGCTCCCTGCCTGTGGCCTAGGAGGGCAGTCGAGGCCGGCCCAAAGCTTTGGGACCCTGCACCCGCGTGGGAGACCCAGAAGAGGCTCCTGGCTTCGGATCGGCATAGTATCGGCCCGTTGCGCTCACTTAGGGAGTGAATCATCGGACGAAAGATCTTCCTCTCTGTCTCTCCTCTCTGTATATCCGCCTTTCCAATGAAAAAATAATAAAAATAAATCTTTAAAAAAAAAAATAAAAGTCACTGGCACCCCACATGGACATTGCTTCATATCCTGAATGCTGCACTTCTGATAATATGCCAGGAAAGGAAGTGGAGGATGGCTCAAGCACTTGGCTTCCTGTAATCAAGTTGGAGACCTGGACAAGTCTCCTGCCCCCTAGCCAAAGTTGCTTGCCTCTGGTGATTCTGGTTATTTGAGGCGTGAACCAGCAAATGGGAGGTCTCTCTCCACCTCTCTCATTTTTAGTAGTTCTATTTTCAAATTAAAAAATCTGAAACAAAACAGAACAAGCCTCCCAGCAACAGGAAATGGCATTGTGGCATAGCAAGTTAACTACTATCTGCCTCACTGCCAATGCGGCTCTGAGTCAATGTGAATTGCAAACAGTGAAGGATGCCTCAGGCACTTGGATGGGAGACTCATGGGAGACTCAGATGGACCTCCTGGTTCTTCTGTGACATGGTCCAGCCCTGACCATTGTGACCATCAGGAGAATAAATCAGCAGAGAGCAGACATATCTGTCTGTCTCTGTCTCCTCTTTCTTCAAGTCCAACTTTATAATATACAAGGAAGTAAATAAATAGACTAAACAAATAAGTAGGATTCATTTAAATCTTTAGTACAAGAACATGTAGCATATTTCATTCTCCACAAATTTCTGTAACAGCTCATGAGTATAGTGCAGCCTCCAAGTGTTAGTAGGCATCAAACTATTTCAGCAATTCCACTAAAGCAAACCTGAAAAGTTAAGAAATAAATAACATTTTTTGTATATTGGAAACTTCTACTACTGCCAAATGCTGAGTGTTTATTTTCAGGTAGGTACTACATAGTTTTCATTACATCATGTATAGAATCAATAAACACCACTGCAAACTTGATATCCTGCAATCATGAACAAATTCTTATTTTCAATTTGAATCGTGTCATAATAATCATGTCTTGTTATGACATCAAAAAACCTGAAGAGAAAGTTTTAATCAGCTTTGACAGCTCCAATGTCTTAGTTATGACAATTTTGCCCTCTTTCCCTCTAATATGCTGTTTTCATTTTAGCTTAAAACCATCATAGAGCTCCTAAAACACAATGTAAAACAAGCTGAGAAGGAAACAACTTACTGAAGGTGTGCTTGTGTTCTCCAGCCTTGGAAGCATGTAGCCAGCTGCAGGGCTGCACCTGCAACAGAAGGTGGAGAGAGGGAGTGATGACCTGGTCTTGCCTGTTCCTAGTCTCTTTAGCAGTCCCTACTGTGCTAAGCAATGTCAGGACAGGAAGCAGACACAATGGCAGGAGAAGCAAAAGCAATCAGCTTCCCTGGGCAAGAATAGTGCTTTACCAATGATGACAAGTGCCAGGAAGGCTTCCTTGAAACAGTATCAGCAATTACAACAGTTGACAGTGATTAAACTTAAGTTACCAGTTGGTTAATGCCTTGTTATTGCATTATTCACAATAACATTACTGGGTTTGGTGTTGTAGCCTAGTGGCTAGAATCCTCACCTTCAATGCACAGGGATCGCATATGGGCACAATTTTATATCCTAGCTGCTACATTTGAATTTCAGCTCCCTGCTTGGAGCCTGGGAAAGCAGTCAAGGATGGCCCAATACCTTGTGATCCTGTACCCACATGGATGACTTGGAAGAAATGCCTGGCTTCTGGCATGGAATTGGCTCAGCTCTGGCCACTGTGGCTACTTGGAGAATGAACCAACAGATGCAAGAGCTTTCTCTCTGTATTTCCTTTCTGTAACTCTGATTTTACAAGGAAAACTATTATTATCTTAATAACAACAGTACAAATAATAATGTCACTGCCAAGCACTAACTTGTTTTTTCCACAACTATTATTCAAATCACAAATACCATAGAAAAATACCATAGTGCCACTAAAATTTATGCTACAGAAAAATACTTGGGTGGTGTTCAGTATTTCTCTGTTTTTACAGATGAGCTGCATAGACTCCATGTAAGGACTTCCATTAGAACACTTCTTGCTGTTGATACTAAAAACTGAAGAAAGCAAACACCTTTCAATCAGAGTACTTTTGTCTACACCTATATATGAAAAATGGATATAATACACATTTATTCTATACAGCTTTCTAGTAATTGTTCCATATGCAAATTCTTATGACTTGGATGGCACTTCTCAGCTCCTAAACCCTCAATCACACTTGACTTTGCCACATTATTTGCCTTAGCCCATAGGATATCCATAAATATTGACAGCAATATAGTTGACAAGTGTTTTTACTTAACTCATCAAGTAGCTACATTAAGGCAATAGCTAGAAAAAACCATCAGACTTGGAGCAGTGAATGGCATGATACAGGAGGATGGGCTGTTGCTTGGAAGAGAGCGCATCTGATACCCAAATACCTTGTTTTGGGCTATAGGCTGTGTAACATTTCTAATTCAGTATCCTGCTACTGCGCCTGGAACACAGTGAGTGGGTTCCAAGAACACCCTGGGAAGCCTAGATGCATTCCTGCTGATGGACTAAGCATGGCAAGCCCTGGCATTTGGGAGTGAATCAACCAGTCATGGGACATCTCACTCCTTCCTGCAATCTACCTTTCAAAGAAATATAGTATAGAAATAATCAGAAAAAATACACTGCATCTAAAATTACATATTTTAGTTGATCTGTGGATACATCCTGGTGAGTAACAAAGAATGACATTTCACATTCAACAAAGAGAACTTCACACAGACACTTCTACACTGGAAATTGTCACAGGTACTTGGGCACTCTACTTCTTTCCTCTCTTCTTCTTTCTTTTTTAAGGTTTATTTTATTTTTATTGGAAAGGTAGATATACTGAGAGGAGGAAAGACAGAGAGGAAGATGTTCCGTCTGATGATTCACTCCCCAAGCAGCTGCAATGGCTGGTATGTGCTCATCCAAAGCAAGGAGCCAGGAGTTTCTTCCGTATCTCCCATGCGGGTGCAGGGTCCCAAAGCTTCGGGCTGTCCTTGCTTGCTTTCCCAGGCCACAAGCAGGGAGCTGGAAGGGAAGCAGGGCTGCCCGGAACTGGTGCCCATATGCGATCCCGGGCATGCAAGGCGAGGACTTTACAACTATGTTATCATGCTGGGCTCCTTGTAATCTTATTCTTAAAAGGACAAACACAGCATATTACGTTTCCCCAAATGTTCTCGCACCTGAAGTAATCCTTGTAATTCATGTAATTTATGTGTTACCGTCCCTTACTTTTACATTTCTATGCATGCCAACATACATATGTACAACATAGCCTACAGAGGAAAATCAAGTTTAGTGTGGATTGGAGCTTGACATACTTAAATACACTTCAAATTTTGAAATAACTCATTGCATCCTTTTACACTGCCAAACTCATCTTGCTAGAACTTGACATAAAATGTATACAATATTTTTCAAGCTCATTGTGTTTCAAGTGTCATCATTACCACCGTCAACTTTCAATTGTTTGGGCCCAGTGCGATGGTGTAGTGGTTAAGGTCCTCACCTTGCACGCCCGGGATCCCATATGGGCGCCTGTTCTAATCCCAGCGGCCCCACTTCCCTTCCAGCTCCCTGCCTGTGGCCAGGGAAAGCAGTCGAGGACGGGCCAAAGATTTGGGACCCTGCACCCGTGTGGGACACCCGGAAGAGGCTCCTGGCTTCGGATCCGCATAGCATCGGCCATTGTGCTCACTTGGGGAGTGAATCATTGGACGGAAGATCTTCCTCTTGGTCTCTCCTCTCTGTATATCCACCTTTCCAATAAAAATAAAATAAATCTTAAAAAAAAAAAAACAGCTTTCAATTGTTTTCATCTTCTAAAAACTGTTGGAATTGACATAGTGGTAAAGTTTCTGCTTGGGATCAACACAACCCAGAGTGCCTCATTTGAATCCAAGCAGCACGCCTGATTCAATTACAGCTGCCTGCACAAGTCCACCAGGGACATTACTGAAATGTGAAGTTCAAGTTGACACTTTCAGCTATGTTCAACACTTAGATTTAACACACAACTTCTAACTATTCACAATTATTTAACTGACTTAAATAAAAAATCGTAAACATAGTGGTTCATGCTCCCCCCCAAACACACAAGAGGCAAGATGAGTCAAGTCAAAGCTAGCAATGAGGAATTCTATCCATGCTCCCAGAGGAATGGTTAGAAACCCATGGGGGCTGGGCTATTTTTACTGTCTATCCAGCAACAGTAAAATGAAGCTGCTAATTACAAGTAGCCAAATCCTTAACTAGCACACTTGATAATCAATACGGGCTCAGTAGCTCCCAGGTTTAACTGAATCAACCATGGTACAAGAATGTGCCTAGTGAAACAGCTTCTGAATACTCTCTCTCCATGCTTGTGTCCTTGTCTCTAAAATGAAAACATACCAAAAGATGGCACCAGCATCCTATGGCTGACCATCCACCTGCAGTGCTGCCTTGAGTTCAGCTGCTCCACTTTAATTCCAGCTCCCTGCTAATGGCTAGGAAAGCAGCAAAAGGATCCTCTAAGTCCTTGGACCACCATTTGTAAACTAAGAATAATTATTCCAATTGTAAAATGCATGCCATGAATGGGATATGAAAAGTAAAAAGCATGAAAAATATTGCCATCAATATCAAAAACAAAAGCAAAGGCCAGCATTGTGGGAAACGTATAAAACTGTCAACTACACCACCAATATCCCATATGGAATCAGCTGTTCCACTTCCACCCAACTCTCTGTTAATCACCTGGCAAGAGCAGTGCAAGATCATCCAAGAGCCTGGCCCTGATCACCCACACAGAAGACCTGGAGGAAGCTACAGGCTCCAGGACTCAACTGGGTCCAGTGCTGCTCATTTGGGCCATCTAACAAGTGAACCATTGGACTGAGGAAGTCTGTCTCTTTTACTTTGTAACTTTCCCTTGAAAATAAACAAATGTCGATTTTTAAGGTTTATTCATTTATTTCATAGTCAGAAAGAACGAGAGATGTTCCATCTCCTCCTTCACTCCATATGGGGTATTTCCTGCTGGTCCAGACAAAAGCAAAGGAATTAGAGCTTCCTATGGTGTCCTAAGGGAGCAGGGACCCAAGCACCTGGGACACCTTATGCTGGTTTCCCAGATGTATTAGTGAGGTGCAGAATTGTAGGTGAAGCTGCCAGATCTTGAACTGGCACCCGTAACAGGTAGCAGCTTGACTGGCTGTGCTACCACATTACCAGAAAAACAACTTTTAAGCAATCAAAAACACCAAACATCAGACAGAACCAGGACTAAGTCACCTCAAGGGACAGAGGTAAAAGAGAGCAAGACCAGAACTGACAAACACGTTTTTCTCTTAGGCATTCAGTTTGTACCATTCACACTCAAAATGAAACTTTGGCAGAAAATGAAGTTGTCAAGAATGGTCTTTGCTTTCCATGAGATCACTGAATTAGATTGCATGCAGGAGAATAAAGATGTCACATCCAACTCATGGCACATTACTCCTACATAACTGAGCAAACATAAAAGCACAAGGACATGACAGACAATGAGCTCTGGGAAGCAGCCTGCTTGCACTTCACAGGGAGATGCACTCAGCAGCTTACCCACATTCCCAGGCCTTGGGGATCACTCTCGCTGAGGACACATTGCCCAGGGAGCTCATCTCACTGATTGAAGGAATTTTATGGAGCCAGAAATGTGACATTGTGAATCTGGGAACTCCTCACAGCCTAGAGTGTCTCCTCCCTGTTTGTCTTCACTTCTGCAACCACACATCCAAAACCAAGTGAAGGTTGTGACCACTGGGATTCTCTTTGATCACTTCTAACACCACATGTGTTATGTTGGTTTAATAACAATTTACCAACAACAACTAATGACAAAGCAATTCAGTTCTCTCATCATCTAGAGTAGTAGATGAGGAGTAGGGTGAAAACTCCAACACTAGACACAGGAGCAGGTTAATGTTGGTGGATGGTAAGTCTTAACTCTTTCTGGTTTTTTGCCCTTTGAGCAGTTAAATTGGGACCCCACCCAGAGCTATCTCCTTAGCAGAAGCTTATCTAGAGTCTGTTAGGTGCAAGTTCCAGGGAGACAGGGCTCTTTTGTCTCAGTAAATCCCCAGGGTCTTAAGATCCATGGGCCAGTTATTGAGTCCAAAAGAAGTCACTTTCTATTTAGCC